TTTGAATTAAACATCAAATTTTCCGCCATACTGTTCTCATGCTTTCAAAAAAAAAAAAGAAAGAAATACAGAGAAACAATATTTGTCGAAACGAATTTCAAAAATCCCTTAAACTTATCGACTCGGATAAATAGATATATACTTTTCAAATATTTCGATCATCCTCGCGGTTTCGCTCGAAACCTTGAGAGATATTTCTCTTTTCCCCTCTAAGGAAACCAACACGTTTCCACGTGTTACACCGTAATAAAACTTTCAACACGGCGAATACACGCGTTTATTTACGGCATCAGGTGCATCCAAACTTGTAAAATATATATATATCTCGCTAAAAAGAAGACGGGCAATATCCTTCTTTGTCTGTTTCCGCGTACGAAATTTTGCAATTCTGATTATAGCTCGTGGAGCTTCGTGTGCCGTTTAATTTGCGTAAACCGTGCTCGCAGCTGCACACCCAGTTGTAAACCGAGGCTGGGGAAAGCTCGAGCGATAAAAAGAGAGAGAGAGAGAGAGAGAGAGAGAGAGAGAGAGAGAAAGAGAGAGAGGAACGAAAGCCGTAATTGATCGATTTGTTTCATGCCAGGTTTTCGGATTGGATGAAAATGTCAGAAATGAACGGTGGACCCCCGGCTCGCGTGAAATTTATCGCGCTCGAAACGTCGAATGGACGTTCCCCGAGCGCTGAAAATTTAGATAAGACTGGAAATTGACCGGTTTTAATTATCGCTATTAAAGGGGACCATCCGCGAAACTTTTCCTCGAGCCTGGAGGAAAATCGGATTGGCGTTATCTTCATTTGGGATTTAAATATATATTATACATGAAGTAAACGTGAAAAATGTGAGAAGTGTATTTAATATTGTTATGTGTTTATGTTTGTCGAATGAAAATTTGCCGTGGAATATTAAAATGAAATGTTATAATGAAACGTGTTTTAATATTATTATGGATAATTCCAGTGTATTTTTTCATTATTATATAGAAGGATGGTAAAATTTATATAAATTTCGTTGTTTATCATCGCCGTTGCATCGATTTCTAATTGAGAATTCTTTGATTGGAATTTTGTTAAATAACGAGGATATATAAATTTATACATTCTATTATTATAGTTTCTATTTTCTTTTGATTTGACTATGAATGAATCTTAAACTTCCAATATAAATGAAAAACTCGTCTCTATAGAAAGATACACGTTATTCGACGACATAATTTAAGTTGTCTCTGTTATTTTGTTTTGCACTTGAGAATATTCCTTTTTTTTTTTTTTATCAGTTACGTTATAGGTAACATTAATTCATCGAATAAGAGTTATTTGCAATTCATTGGGAAAAGAAAAAGAGACTAGGCGGAGGAAGAACTAACTGGATTCTGCAATTCTAATTGTGGTCAGGAATTGAAGCTTAGTTTGCTTAGTGCATGTTCGCACGTTGGCTGAAAATATCAGAATGAAATGGTAGATAGAAGTGCTCGTTGGTTATGAAAACAGTGAAAATCGAGAAAGAGGGAGAGACAACTATGTCTTCGGTAATTACAATTAACGAGAATATATCTTACCTCTGAATTTTCACACCAATTATCGAATTTAGAAAGGAAAAAAAAAATTGGATTTTAGATACGATTTTTATACAAATTTTGAGAATTAAAAATTCTTCGAAAAATGAGAATGATCCATTTATCTTCTAAAAGTGACGTTATCTAATAAAACTTTCACGGTTCAATCAATGAAAATTCAATAAATTACAATAAATTGAGTGCATATGATATCGTGCAGATTGTGATCTGCAAATAGATCTCAAATTGAGATGTATATATATTTTTTTTCTCGCGCGTCGAATAACAAGGTAAAAGAGCAGAAGAAAGCAAACGAAAATTGAGAACATCGCGATCCTCAAAAGCAGTCCCCAGAAACTTTCAACATGCACCATGTACCTGCCTACATTTCCTAGAATTTCTTTCAGTTCGAAATGAAAGGAGGAAATACTCCTCCAACTTTGCAGCTTTTTGGCTTTTGTGCGCCAAGAATTTTCATTTATTTTTCTTATACTTGTCGCAAATGTCGCCTGAAATATGGATGAAAAATATGTATAGATATTAAGTGTCGAAAAATGTTTAGGAGACTGATATACACATTTTTGTGTTTTCTTTTTTTCAATATAACGTATTTTATGATACATTTACGCATTGATAGTATTAATAGAAATTGAAAAATCATTCGTTTTTTTTTGCGAATTTACGAATTTAAATTTATGAAAAAGTGTATTTTATTCATTAACGATAATAAATAAAGTATTTATTAAAGTTTTGAAACAAAATAATAGGCAGTTATAATTTTATAATTGAATTTAAATTAAAAGAATTAAAAGAAAGATTCTTTCCAAGGAATATATAATTGTGAAACGAATTTTAAATTACAAGCATTTTATGAATCGAAAGATTAAAATAACAATTCGTCATTATTTTTTAGTTTCGAAAACTTTTTAAAATGTACATTCCAGTTACTCTCCCATTGACACCTGTATTTACTTTGAACAAGACCAGTTGAATCTGTTGAAAAAACATATCTTTTAGAACGTGTACACAGAACTCCATTGCTACGTATTTACAATTCTCTCAATAAGCTTTAACTTTGCTAGAAAAAAAAAAGAAAAAATCAAATATAAAAACATTTTATCGATTTTAATATTTCATAAAAAATTGCATCTTTTTTTTTATCTCAAACGTCATTACGATTACAATGCTATTTTGCGACAATACGTGATACTGCATAAAGAAATATTGATGGCGCAAATATTAAAATAAAACTCCCATGAAAAGTTATTTCCCTATCGTATTTTCACATTTTATAGCGCATATACACGTGACAATTTTTTTTTTATATTTATATAAAAAAAAATATAATAAAAAATCTCTATAATGCAGAACATGTTTTAATATTTATTCGTTGAAAAATAGTTGAGTAGCATAAAATCGATACAATATCGTGTTCGTTTTCATCAATGCACAAGGTATATTATGTGTCACTCATCGAGTCATAATCGTAAAAAAATGTGTTCCACAAAATATTTTCAAATTAAGCTTAATAATCTCTAAACGATAAAACAATATTTTTGTATTAATTATTGCATAATTATTTTTATTTATAAAATCAAGAAAGATAAAAATAATCGAGAGTATTTCAAAGATTCAGATATTATTATATTATTGGATAGCATTGAATGTGAGAAATTTAAAATTTAAAAGTTTGCAAAAGAATATTTTTTAGATTAAATTCGGTATATCGTGAAGTAGGTAGATAAAAAATAGAATAAATTTTAGTTGGGAAACTAGTATTCTATTTTCTGAAAGAAATTTCAAGTCTCATTCTGGTCACGTGACTCAATAGAGAAGAGTACGGAGTTTACTATTTCCAAGTTTTTGAAAAAAAAGTTCTTTCGATTTCTTTTCTTTCACATAAATTATTGCATAAACTGTGCAACTTGAAACAAAGTTTATTGAAATTTTTCTGAATATATAGAATAAAAATAATTTCTTCTTTCTTCGAGGATTTGATATAAACTTCAAGCTTTAATAGGAGAGCTAAGATTGAGACAATTACAATAAATGAATTCCATCTTTTTCACTGAATATGATCAAATAAAACATACATACATAATTGCTATAATTTTTCTTTTCTGTTCATATATAATTGTTAGATTGATTGATAAAAATTCTTGACTGTATTGTTTTAATTTTAATTCTTGATATGATCCAAATTTGATCCCATTTTCTAAATGAAATCTCTTGTATCAAGCGCATAAGTTCTCGAATAATGAATTTTTGGGATAATAGATAGGTCATGTGGGATTACAATACATTAATGAAATATTATCACGCAAATCGATAATGATTGATTATATTAACAATATAATCATTATCCTCAACGAAATTCATGCAAGTTGATCTCTTCCAATCAATAATTTCTTCAAATAAAAAACTATCCTTGCAATCTCTAAAACTTAAACTATCCTATGATCTAAAGTTAATTTTTCAATATACATATATATATATATATATATATTTAAAATTAAACTAAAAAAAAGACACACATTGAAAAATAAAAATTCAAAGAATTCGCAGAAGATAAAATAATCCAATCCGAATCAATTTTAACGCCACAATTATACACAGGATCACAATATGTGAAATATACGGAAGCAACATTCTACGCCAATTAATCCTCCTCCAGGTCACGGCAGTGTCCCCCTTTTCCAGTGACAAAGGCTCGCGATTCCCGTCGAAAAGATAATATGGCCGGTAAAATATCAGCCGGATGTTTCCCAGAGTAAGGGAGCCTAAATCAGCCCGCGGAGTTTCGCCCCTATTCGCCGGGGCGTCGAGCGACGTCTACCTACTTCCCCGTAGCCGGAAGCTAGCACGTAATAAGAGGTCTCATCCTGCAGCGACATCAAGAAGCAGCAAAAGCTCGATTCTGTTTTAATATGAATGACGTATACGGTTCAATTGCTCGGGGCTTTAATAGGTCGAATCGTCGATAATCCGGGGTAAACGGGGGTACGTCAGCGGAAAATACAGGAAATAGGGGGAGGGGAGGTGGGTGTGTATGTTCTCTAGGAAGAAGGGAGGGATGGGGGGATGAGAACGTGAAAGAAAGTGGTATGTTGATCGAGGGTGTGCGAAGGAGGGAGAGATGGATGAGGAGAGAGAGGGGGTGGTTGGAAAGCGTGAGAGAAGAAAAATTGTACGGTGTGTATGTTTGAAATGGTGTGAAACGTTTACATATGCACGTGGTTTGTGTGTGTGTGTGTGTGTGTGTGTGTGTGTTGGCTGAGTGGGAGGCGGAATAGGTTAGGGTGGAGGGGAGCGAGAGGAATTGTCATTCGGTGGAATTGCAATTTCTCGCTGACGCGTGCTGTGCAACCTCCGGCGCGAGGAGTAAAAGCGGACTAATGATGCACACTAGACTTAATGCTCCGTTCCTGTTCTCATTTCCCACAAAGGTGCGAGCTGCCTGCGGAATGTCAGCCTAGAAGTAGTTCCGGAGATAGCGGAACGTGGTCAGAAGGTGATTCTCCGCTGCCATTACAATCTCGAGGAGGCGCCCCTTTACTCCCTCAAGTGGTACCGCGGCAGGTACGAGTTCTACCGTTACACACCGAGCGAGGAGCCGTCGACCAAGATCTTCAATGTTACCGGGATTTACGTTGACGTGAGTGTCAATCCATTTTTTTTTTTTTTCCGTTTCCTTTTTGCGCGCCTTTGCACGATAATTTAATGGAAAGTATTTGTAATATCTATTACGGTATTTATTGTACGAAATCAATCAGCTCTCTCGCTTTCTCTCGTGTTTATAATTATTGATTGAGAAATTATTAAAAAAAAAAATTATGGAAATAATATCGTTAATATTAGATTAGATTACAATTGTTATTAGATCATTATCGCACACGAGGCAGAGCGTTATCTACAATTTGAATAAATTTAATCAAGCATTATATTACTTGCAATTTACACGTTAAACATATGTAAATACGTACATTACAATTTATAATTAACAGCTCGATTAATCAGCCATCATCATTTAAGACTTTTAATCGATAACACACAAATATCCATTTAATAATGAATTCATTATATACAATTAACCTTTCGTCATATGAATAATCACATCAGTCAAACAGAAGTATCACAAAAGTTTACAATCAAAATTACGAATAATCCAATTCCCATTATATATACACGCAAATCGTCAAACAAGAAATATTCTTGGATTAACGATACACTACGTTCAACAAGAAATTACAGACAATCCAACTCCATAAAATAAAATAAAATAAAATAAAATCTACAAGCAAATTTCAAATTCCTTTTCGATAAAACTTATCATAAATCAATCGTGAAAAGGAGGTTTCGCCAAAATAAGCGAATCAATCCTTTGTTTTCGATGAGAATATTTCGAAGAGGGTTGGGATGGAGGGTTGTGGTCCGCATCAATCGTCGAAACAACAAACAACGGTGGATGTGACGCGGGATTAACCTTCCGGTTGGCCAGGAACGATCCAAATATGTGGTTTCATCGCACAAGCGTGCCGTGCGACGCTTGTTAACAGCATCCTTGACCGCTGTAATCGCCGTAAAACAGGCGGCTTTTATCATCGTTCGAACATTTCCGCGCGATCCCGATGTTTGCACGCGTTTCCGGTTCCCATTTTGGTTCCGCGCAGGCCGCCGCCATCATGGCGCTGCTCATACGCGGCTGAAAACCAACCATCTCTCCTCTGTTGTTGTTTTCGTTGTTCCCGTTATTTTGCCCGTCGAACGAACAATGGCGAATATGGAATGGTATCGTCGCTTTTACGTTTATCGGCCAGACGCATATGCATCTGTTCTCCGTAATTCAGAGCGTTTTGTACTCATGTGTGCGCTTGTGTGTTGAAAGATGATTCGTATTCACAAGTTAATTTTATACAGATATAATATAGATTGGTAATGATTGACGAGGATTTATGTGTTTAGTTGTTTCGTTTATTTAAAAGTTTATTTATCTTTAATAGTGAATATTTGATATTGTTGTCAATAAAAAATGATAGATATCCATAGATTATTTATTCATTAGAATAGGTAATATGCATCACGTTGAATATTTTATTGAATATAGATTGGTATGATACTTTTTTTTCATCTTCAAATTTGTAAATTTGTAATTTTTTAAAAATTTCTTAACATCTTCCAAGTCTTAATTTGGCTATATATTATATTTTTTTTAATTACATTAAAATTAGATATTCTTTAATTTTAAAGTTCATTCGATATTCCTTTTGAGGGAATATATATTCTAACAGATCTAGTTACAAAAGTAGTGACAGTAATTGAAAATTCGTATCTCGATACGAGCATATACATCCACGAATTTCGCTGTCGTTGAATGTCTCTCTGTTAATTTGTAAAAACCTTAATTCGCGATGGCCATTTCGCATGGCTGCAAAAGGTTTGAACGAAAAACATTGTTCGACACGTGAAGGAAATATATATACCCACATCGTACGTTCATTTTAACGGTATCAGCGAGTTTTGAACTTTTTTACTTACGCACTCTATCATACATCGTGACGAGAGCTTTTGTATTTTCGTTTTTTCTTTGTCTCTCTCTTTTTTCTTCCTAGTTGGATAACCATTTTTCTCTTTTGAGCACTTCGAGAGCTGATATAACGAGTTGACGTTATTTTTTTTTTTTTTTTCGTATATTTGTTTGTACAGTTCCTTTTTTCTTTTTTTTTTTTTTTTTGCTTTTTTATTGAATATGATATATATGATTCGCAAAATTGCTTTAGGATAAAGCGTATAAATGTTTTTATGATATTTAGAAAAATGCGGTAAAAGCTTAATACAGAGCTGAGTCTGAATATTACAGGCATAATCTACTGTGAAACATGGCGAGAAAGCGTATGGCGTAAAGGTATATTGCAATATCGGATATTAGAAAATTAGTATTTAATCATTGAATAAATGTGAAACTGAACATCCATTAAATGTATATCGTAAAATACATCTTTTTTTCATTATAAAACCAAAGATTTCTTTAGTTACATAAAAATTTTTATTCTTCATTTATCTTCAAACCAAAACTTAATAAATAATTCATTGATCTCCAATAATAACAATCAATTTCATAGTCAATTTATATAATTTAAAATCTTCTTAAAATTCTTAAATAACGAAGAAGATGATTACACAATAATTCACAAAGAAATAAGAGTTTAATTGAATTTCTTTAAAAAAAGAATACTAAACCTCATCCATTGTACATGTTCCCTAATACACATCTTAACAAATCAGAGAAGAAAATTCAAGATTCCATAATGAACAATTATTTCCACAGTTTCCTAGCCGCTCAGCATTCATCAAATGCACCTAACACACATAAATCAAACGAAACTTGATGAAAAAAGCCCTCTCCTCCTTCTTCGTTTCTTTCATCCCCGTTAAAAGCCACCCTCTCCCTTTCTCTCTCTCTCTCTCTTCCACTCCGCGTCCAACGGCATATCTTCCTTCGTTATTTAAATCCCGCTAATTATGCATATTTTTCCTTTGCCTGTAACGATGAAACGATCTTCCACCACTATTCTCGGGGGAAGGCTCCTGCCCCGCCTTCGCCGCTATCTCGCCCCCGCGTGTCTCGGCCTTCGCGCTCGCTTCATCGAGCCAATTTACTCGAGTGCAGGGTAATTCCTGATAAGATGACGATTTTCTCGAGTGCTCCGCTCTGCGTTGCCTGGTCACCGGAGAAACATTTAAGGGAGGGGGGGGGAGAGGAGGGGAGAGAGAAGAAAGAAAAAGAAAGAAAGAGAGCCTCTTTGCAGCCTTTGTCGACTTCAACAAACGGTCCCGCCGTCTCTTTTAATATAGAATATAGGACGAACGTTTAATATTTCGTGACACGACGGATGTCCCCAGAGGTAATAATCTCGAACCGGTATATATATATATATATATAGATCCGGATGTTTGAGACGTGTAGAGCTGCATGGATATCGATTAGCACGCGATCAGGTGAATTTCTACGCTCGTATGCACGTAGAATGGTTGGTGTGAAATTTTATATTCGGGCGTGAAATGCGCGAGAAAACGTTTAACATCTTGGGGGAAGGGAGAGGGGATTGTTCGATTTTAAATAAGAGTTATAAAAGTCTTTATCGAGGTGATAATATAATTTTATAACAGCTGGTTGGTTATGGTTGATATAAAAGTTTTCGGTCGATTTTTGATGTAAAGTTGTAAAAAATTGTAAGAATATGAAATGATATCGTTCTGATCTGTTTGAAAAATAGGGAAGGTATTGGTAGGGCACGTTGTTTGATTTCGAATGAATTTCTTTTAAACTTAATAAATTGATATGGATCATTTGAAATTTTGTTAATGATTTGTTTTTCCTGTCAATATTGTTTCAATTAAATAATAATATATATTGTTCATGCTTTTGCAAAATTTGCTTTATTTGTTAAATATCCTGACAGATATATTATTTATTTAATAATCAATATCGGTTAAAAGCTTATTCAAAATTGCGCGTTTCATATGCATTCGTAAAAATATTTTCTCGTTGCTATCTACTAAAAGGTTTTTAATTACGTTGCATATTATTAATAATTTTCAATTTTAATCTTTATCATTTTTTAAATATTTGAAGTTTTTAATATAATAAATCAAATTAATATATTACGTATGCCGATAATAATTAAATTGAGCGTAACGTCGAATAGAAAATAGAATATTCTATGTAAATGAGAATTAAAAAAAAAAAAAAAAATGAACAACAAAACAATTGTTTCTCGATTAAATAACGTTATCAAAACTGTTAATTCGGTAAATTGCAACGAGCAAATTGAATTCTCATTGGGTTTGTAGGTTCGCTTTAAATAATGAGCTTTCATTCGAAAATTTCGATCATCCAATAACAGTTACCATTTCGAAATACAATCGTTAATACTAATTTACGTATTAATTATCCATAGATATATATGCTCACATTCGTGTAGATTGGAAAAACAAAGAAATCTATCTGATTAGATCGTCACGTGTAATAATGATTTTATATTATTTATTAGTCATTATCAGCTTGTCGAACATTGCGTTGTCTGAATAATGTAGAAAGCTGTTGAATCAGATTACAACAATAATAACGAGTACCAAAATTAATTTTCAATTGTTATTATATTATGGAACATTAACATTAATATCTGTGTATCTATTAACATTAATTATATTATAAAATAGAAAACCATTGATATGTTAATACACAAGATATTAATATTTGAATAAGATTGATAAATACTTTTTTTAAGCACCAATAATTTTTATTAATATTAAAGTTAGAAAAATGTATTCTTTTTAATTTGATAATATTACAATTGTTAAATGTAGGATATATCAATAACATTTAGAGATAGAGAATTATATTTATACATAATTCACAGGAATAAGGAATTAATGATTTACTGGGGAAAATATTTGACAAAAAAATCGTTGAAAATCCAATATTTATGCCTGACAGTCATGATATATGGTATTGCATAACCTGGAAGGTACAGCACTGGCATGAAAGATCTCTTGAATTGATGTGTACACTCTAAAAGTCGGATTTCAAATGGATTCTGCAATAAAATATAAGGAAGCGAAAGGATTTAGAGTCAATCCGTTTCGTCTCGTGATACTTTTATATATATCGAATTATATTATTATTTAAACAATTGTGACAGTTGTATACGAAATAATATACATATAATAATAAATAAACTAGAATCGTCATTATCAATTTATAATTTAAAAATAAATTGTAATTAGACGAAGCTAATAATAATTATACACATTTAATATATAAATAGTGATTTCATTTATCTATATACAAAATTTAATAAAATTATTTGTCCTTCATTATTAATAGTCATAAACAAAACGTTACGTAAGAATATTTTATATAATATTCATTATTTCATACTATATTGTATTATGAAAACATGGTTTCAAATAGAATGTTACAAATTGCATATCTTAAATTGCATTAGATATACACGATATTATTATTAAATTTCATCATATTGACACGAGGAAATTCAAATACAATCGATGATAATTAAATTCAAATTATTAGAAAATTCTTCTACACTGAACTACCATTACAATTCTTCTACATTGAACTACCATTATTAACACCTGAATTTCAAATCAACGACAAAATTAAAAAAATAAAAGGAATCAAATCATTCACGCAAATTCCTCTAAAAAAATAACAGAACCAATTATTTCCACTCGATCGAATATCGATAAAACAAAAAAAAAAAAAATACACATCACAACTTAATATCACAACTCGATCTTCCATTTCAAAAACAAACTTAAATACAAACAATACAAATGAACCGTATTCAATTCCAAACGACAACGAGACAAACTAATACGAAACTCTCCTATCAAACAATCAGAACCGAAATTTAACTGTGAAGTTTAACTCGAGCCGGTCTACGTAAATGTATTTATCGTTGATTCCTGCAACGTTTTCGCGATAACGTGGCGATAACGCCAAGGCTGATACATCCATTTGCATTCACTTTGCACACACGTTGCTCTGTTTCAGGAGGAGAACTCGAACAAGAGCCAGGTAACCCTGCGCGACGTCAACTTCGCCCTCTCGGGTAAATTCAGTTGCGAAGTTACGGCGGACGCGCCGACCTTCTCCACGGCCAGCGGCTCGAAGAATCTTACAGTAGTGTGTAAGTACATGCTTCACGACATTACAGAGTATCGCGGAGAACTCGACGTATTCAGCATGCTCGGCTCTATCCCTCGCCAACCACCCCCTTTTCTCCCCGATGCACGCGAGTCGCGCGTGTACGGCATCGCAAGTCACCGAACTCTTGCTCTTGGATACAGGCTGTTTCATTTATTTCGTTTTTATTTGCTTTTTATTCCTTGTCTAAAGTTTTCCACGTTTATCGTTTTCCATTTCGATAATAACTTACGAGTGGTAAAATTATAATCTTGAATTGGTTGAATTAATAGGATAATATGGAAGGTGAGAAATGTTTTATAAGTAAAGGGAATATATTTTGAATATATTTTGTATATTGTATTTATAAGAATCTTATATTTATATTTTATAAATGTATCGAAAGTTTTTGGTTTTTTTTTAAATTGTGCAGTATCTAGGGAAAACAGTATTTCTTGAAAAAATTGATCTGTAGATATCCAATTGATTCTTTATAATCTTATTCTTGCAAAATTTAAACTTTTCAAAATGAGAAAGGATAAAATGCAATGCGAGAAGACACTGTTAAAAATTTAATAATTATAATAATGTCTTCTACGTTTCTTTTTTTTAAATTCTTTTATTCGATTAGAAAATGTCTTTTACCTTGTCTGGAGGCAAGATAGATAATTTTCTCTATGTTGAAACGAGTGGCATTGTATTCGTACACAATTCTAAAAAAAATATATAATAGGTGAAATTCCGCACACAATGGGCAACGTGTTTCCCTTTAAATTCTTTCCCCAATATTTTCCAATTCTTTTCACCTTCGCGTACACAAAGATCTATAGCCTGGTTCACTTTCTAGAACCACTCTGTGCATGGAACAGACTTCACCAAGTCCTACATACGAAACAAAGTTATAGTCTCGCTTCGAACAATTCCAGGAAAAGCAACCCATTTCTCTTTCATTTCCGCACCTATTATTGTAAATTATTTCGTATTCTTCTTGTGAAAGCGAATGAAATCTCGTATAACTATGATTGGATCATTTAAGATTGGAGCGAAATTAAAGATTATATTTCTATTTCGTGCAATATGTTTCAAAAAGAGATAATAACAACGAAGTTTGATTTTATCTTCATATTTCCATTATATATATTTTATTAATTTTTTATGATTGCAATTTTTATCTTAAAACATAGCTTTCATAATTTTTCCATAACGTTATGATTATTATACTCGTATAATTATAGAACAGTTTTCATGGAAAAATTAAGAGATAATTTTTTCTTTCTTCTATAAATTCATCTTACAATAAAGATACTCAAAAATATTATTATAAAATCAAATATATTTTTCTATTTTTAATTATTAAAAAGTTATTGCAAAAAGAATTAATACAATAACATAGAAATATCAATAATCCTTGTCCCAACTAGCACAAGTAAAAATTCCTCGAAATTCAGTCGAGAAATTCAAAAATTCCTCAACCAAAAAAAACGTTCGAAACTTCACAAAAAGTCGGATACAATAACGCAAACCTAGCCCGACCTCCGTACAGACAAAAAATTCCCCGATTCAAAATTCAAAAATACCTAAAATTCCTCGACCGAGGATAAATCAGATTAGAACAACTGCATTCAGGAACACCCTGTAGATTTGCATCCCTCCCCGCCTTTCCTAGTTCCACTTCACCAACGCGCATTCCTCTTCACCAGTGTTGAATCCACACGAATTTCCGTGCGTACACCGAGGAGAAAGTTTCTCCTTGATAGCGTCATTAACTCTGTTCGCGTTTGATTCGAACTGGTCGCACCCCCTTCTAAAACCCCCGTGAATCGGCTTCGTTGTCGCGAACGTTTCCTCGCACACATACACACACACATACACACGCACATCACATATACTACGTGAAACTGGCTCTCACGTAAATTCGCGGAGTGTTTCTAATTTCCTCGAGCACGCCGCGGCGAGATCAAAGGAGTACTTCTGGGGTTAATCAGTGCACGCCACAGGATCGCGAGCACGTTAACGGGTTTCTCGAATTCACAACGATATTTCCGCCATTCTTATTTCTCTCGTATTTTTCTCGTGGAATATCGGACGATGATTTATTATTAGATGGTTGTATACGAAACAACCGATTTCGTAGATGTTTACGTAATTATTAGAACGTTAAATTGCATCGAGTTGTTGATTCAAATGTGGTTTTATATTAATAATATAATTGATTCGTTGTAGAAACGAATGCTATAATTGAACTATGGATAATTGTGTGAATTTTGCGTGGAATTGTATGTTGACGATTGTGATTTTTCTCTGTAGAGGTTTAAAAATATTTGCCAAGAGTATAATTTTTACATCAAGAATTAACAAAATATATTTTTCTCGTGTTTGTAAATAACGAAAAGTGATAAATAATTAAAGATATGCATAGATAATTTAATAATATTCAATATATTTATATATATATATTGGATCTTAGTAGTTGATAATCACGTGGCGCTAGTATCGCTATTGTTATATTATCATAAAATTTATGAAAAGATTATATTAAAACAATAAATAAATAATTTGTCATTGATGTGAAAATTTTAAATTGGTAAATATAAATGTGAAAAATAAATTAGGGAGGAATTATTAATAAATCGATACAAGAATTTAATTGTAATAATGTTAATTTTGCTTTTCGACAAGAATATCGAATATATTTAATCAAGCTGATTGACGTTATTTTTTTAATAAATCTATAAAACGTTAAAACTTGAATCTTCAATCATTTCATCTGCAATAATTTAATACATATCGAAATTACATTTTTACATCTTGCGTTACTGAATGTTGAATTTCTGTTCTGAATATAATTACATCGAGAGATGTTTAATTGCAGGAATAATTAAAAGTAAAATATAAGAGAGGATGTGGAAATAGAGCATGAAAAATGAAATATGAAATGCATCTCTCTTTTTTTGAAATTATTGAGTGAACGATACGATGTGTGCACTTGTACAAAAAGTAAGACAAAAATTAAACTATTCATAATAAATATTGATAATTAAATAATATGATATAAATTTGAATCATAAATATGAAGAATTACAATATTAATATCTATATTTCTTTTTTGGAATTAATAATTAACATTTCAAGTGTTTTCAAAATATTTGCCTCTCTTTGCAAAGTATTTGGATATTCCTTGAAACGATTTGCCATAAAAATATTAATCAAGTTTCAATAAGATCGTTTTTTCTGCTCGTTCGCGAAAGTTAATTGATAATTTTATAAAAATTTCAATCAGGATTACAATAGGTCGATATCGTTGGTTCATTGTTTCGTAAGAGTGCGTTAGCCGCGTGTCAATTTATTCATTGTGGAAGTTTAGTTAAAACTTCAAATCTGAGAAGTTGATAGAAGCGAAACTTTCCGGTGAATGTTGCGTGCATAAATATTGGAGCAAGGAGTTTCGTGCAAACGAATACACGGGGACGAAGAAAGGCTGAACTTCGAAAGACAGTAAATACGAGAAGACGCACGAAACGAGAGGCGTTTCCGACTTCTCAAAGATTAACAATGTGAATAATATGATTTTTGAAAATGAATTTTCATCGTATTAAATTCATTTCAAACTGGTGTGAATTGAAATTTCCTCTAACGAAATTTAAATCTAAAATATGATTTATGAATCTTTGAATCCTCTTCCTTGATTTTAATCTCTTAAAATTAATACTTTCTGTATTATATTCTCAAAGACTTGAAGATTATTATCGTGCAATTAATTATTAATCTTTATTATTGAATATTATTGAATAATGTAAAATTATTAATCACCTAAAAAGTTGGCATGTACAATGTAATTAACGTTATAATTTAATTTTCATTCAAGAATATTTCTAAAAGAAACATGTATTCTAAATAAATATAAGAGAAGAATAAAAAATGATTATTTTTCTTTCTAATGGTTTTAATAAATTCATTGGCAAAAGGTTAAATTAACAAGATAAATAATACCAGAGTAGAAAATTTTAGAATAGTTAATACATAAATGAACACAAGTTCTTGTTTACGATAATTGAGATAATAATGTTCTACATATAATATTTGATAATAGTCCAATATTCTATAGTAGTATTTGGAAATAATATTCGTAACAACAATAACGATACTTGATAATATTGAAATCTCGGTTGTATTAATATTCGAAATGCTATTAAAATACATTCTTTGGCTGATGATCTATGCTATTTATAATACAAATTCTACAGTCAAATATAATAATAATCTCTTATATTTTGGTTAATTTAGATCTCAATCTTTACAAAAATATTTTTTAAAATTTTATAACAAAAATTAAATGAATATTTCTCAAACATTCTATCATCTTTCAGAAATTAACTTGTTTCAATCGATTATAAATTTTTATAAAAATCTTCATGAGTTAAATTTCTTATTTTCTTTTCATTTTTCATATCTACGTTATTATATATCTTTCTAGAATATTTATTTCTAGAGTTTGTATTGCCACAAAAATTTTAATTTCTGAAATAATAAATTAATTTTTAATAAGAAACAGGTCTCAAATATATTAAAAAAATCAAGCTTAATTAATGTATCCTACGTGTTTACAATATTCAGTTACCTAGAAATGATTCCTTATAAAAACTCATTTGTAAGGAATCCTCTTTTAATTAAATTCGAATTTTTCGATCTGTTTATCGCGAATTTTTTTATTCGAAAACTCGAAACCAAGTTCTATTTGCCAGTCTGTGCGAGAGGTCAGAGAAATCTCCAATTTATTGCGAGCAATTCCGATATTGAAACTCGAATCCCTGTGGTGGCTGCGTTTCGGTTCCTCTTCTCGAGGAATTCTTCATGCCCAGTCAATTGTCCTGGCAAAAACTCTTTCATATCCCTTTTTTTCTTTCTTTTTTTTTTTTTTTTTTTTTTTTTATATTTCTTCCATCAACCGTCTTACAGATAACGCATCTCGAGAATTCGTTATACGTTATTTGCAGGGAACGAGAT